ACATGTTGTTGTCAGCTCGAAGCGAACCATCTTAGCGACATTAACATTCTCTTAGTTCCTCTTGGAACTGCCAGGATAACGCAACGACTGCGCTGCACAGAGAGTTCTGAGCCATCGGTGTCCTCGGGGGCGTATGTGTGGCATGCATCCTTTTTTTGTGTGCATCTCTTGGCTGCCAAATTAAATTGTGGACTCCCTTTTCATTGCATATGCTACATACATGTCCCTATTAAACCCCCATCGCACACACACACTATCGCATTTTATTTCATTAGCGCGTAAAATTCCTTTTAATTAATATATATATAAAATTGTTGCTGCTGTCGGTCAGCAGTTGCTCCGTCTACTTGGGGGTTCAATTTGTGGAACACAGCCCCAGACAAGGCCCCCTCGGCTCTCCTCTCTCTCCGGGGGGTTGCTCCCTGCATTTTATTTCATTTTTACTTGAGCATAAAATGTTGAAAGCAGCCGCTGCACGTGCGCAGCATGTTTAATTATCTCCAAATGTGGATGCGGATGTGTGGATATGTGGCTTGGTAGGGCTAAGGACAGACGGACGGCGTCCTGTGGTTGCGGCTCATGTGGTCAGTGTTTCAAGTCCAAGCTTAATGACCCGACTCTGGATCTGGATCTGGGTCTGTTTAGTTGCCATTAAATTGCACATGAAATTGTGTTGGTTGTAATTCGAAATGGTGCAGAAATTTCAAATGGAATTAAGAGTTGGGAGATGCCCAGATTAACTTGATTAGGGCAACTTTAAAGGACTTTTTTAAAAACTCCATAGTTGGCTATAGTTCATATAAAGTATTTGGTTATTTACTTACTCGCAGACATACATATATGTTTTGTATACAGATGAGTTTCATTTCATTTCAATTTGCAAAACAAATTGAAAAACACTTGCCATGCATTGCTTACACGATGGTATATTGTTCTTCTAGTTTGTCCACAGAAAGAATTTGCATATCCCAGCAGTTTGTGGTACTTGAAAATTCGACTAGCTAGGACTTTATCCTGTCTGGTCCTTGCTTTTATTTAGCAGAGATTGTTTTCCTTAATCTTAAAGTTTTTCATGAGACTCAAATTTTGTTTTATGGTCAAGTTGCTTAAGTTTGTACTTGTGAAAGATTTTTGGTTATTAGCCTCAATATATATTGAGGTTCAGGTTATGTGTAAATTAAGGAATATTGTATTGAATCTTGAATTTAATGTCTGAATTCTAAATGTAACTTTATGGATCGGGTAAGGAGGATCAATTCCAGAAATATATTTAAGGTTCTTGAATTCTTATTCGATCTTAAGTTGTTTTTAGGCAGCAAGTTAATAGATCGGGAAAATCTTATTGAGTTTTTAAATGTTTCTTAATATAATTCTGATGAAAATCAGAGCCACATATTTATAAATTGTAATTATTACTTCACAAACTTAAAGATTTAAAATATCCCTCGCTTAAGGAGTTGTTGAAATCTAAAAATTGGTATGCAAGTCGGACATTCTGGCGTCTAAAGTGTCATTTCTCCGCGGCGTTTGTTTTTTTCTCTCCTGTTTTTTTTGACCGACAATATTAATATGAATGACTGTCATGCCTTGGTGTTGGTGTCCTCCTGCCTGGGTGTGCGTATAATTATGTGGATGTGTGTGTGTGTGCAGCCGAACGTTAAATGTGCACGTGACAAGCGTGTAATGAGGAAGTCTTCGGTCTTCGGTCTCCGCTCGTCTAGGACGGCAGTCAGGATGGCAGGATAGCCAGGATAGCCGGCCAATATATAGTCGGGAATGTGCACCATATATATGAGGCAATGTCGTGCCATGTTACGCATATATCCGTCTCTACATATATTTCAATCATTTTAAGTGTGTTTGTGTTACAACGTCAGCAGGACAGAGATGCCACCGGGGGGCGCCTCCCGTGTCCTGGTTTCGTTGTCGTCTGAAAATTGGACAATGATTTATGAGGCGTTAAGTCAAACTTCATATTAATTTCATTTCGTTTTCAACCAGCACTCTGTCCGCCTTCCTTTGGACTGCTTTAAAGTTGAAAATGAGCGCACATGAGACACGTAAGCAACGAGAATAAAAGCCAGTCAAGAAGGATAAAATCCGTCTGAACATTCGATAGTCAGGAAGAATGAAGGTAACCGGAAAACGTGTTATGAATTTATGGAATTTTACATTCGAAACTGAACAACGAATTGGGAATATTCTACTTCAAATGATTAGGAAATAGGGTGTGGTTAAGAATTAGTAAATAATTTTTAACTCACTTGATAATTAACATTAAGGGATTGTAAAATAATACAACTCTCTTACAACTAATGTTTTATAAGTATAAAATCAAGGATCTGAAAGACTTGTTCCTGAAATAAATGGAGGGATAGACCAAATGTCCTTAAAAGCTGTAAAACAAACTCAGGGAAAATATTATTATTAACGATAATTTAAAATACAAATCTCTTAAAACTTAAGAAAGGATATTCAATTCGGTTTCAAATAAATAACTTTACGAAACGAAACGATAACACACACTTAAGCATTTCAAAATTTCATTCGACGTATTTTTGGGTTCTGTGGCCCTTTTTCTCTCTCCCCCAAGCATAATCATATTTTCTGCCAACAATTGTATAACATGTGTAATTTGAGCATTTCATTCATTCATTCATACATTTATTCGTTCGCACACACAGAAGGCACTCAAGTGTGTGTGTGTGTGTATGTGTGTGTGCTGGGCTGTGAAAATAACTTGTGGCATGCTTTGAGGCGTTTGTGCGGGTTGCCAGGACTTTGAGCACTCACTCCCGTTTTCGACAGCCCTCTTGCCCCGGCATTCTCCAGTGGTTTTTGCCTTTTTCACACTCCCCCGCTTCCCTGCTGCCCGTGCGCCTCCCTCCTGTCTCTGGTTATTGGCCAGTGAAGCGTTAACCATGGTCAATAAAAAATTTATTTAGACAACCACAACGGCAACACAAATTTTTGCTGTTTCCTGATATAAAAAAAAAAAAGAAAATATTATCCTGTGCTGGAAAATTTTTTGGCAGGCAGCAAACACAAAAAATTGTAAATTCTGCTTTCTCTCCTCTATTCCGGATCTCGGCTTGATGGTGTCGAGTGTTGGCATTTGATTTATTTTGGGGCGTTTAAATATTTCAAATAATTCATATTTTATTGACTAGACACGACCGATGGCAGGGGAAAAGCCGGCTAAAAGGAACATTTCAAACTCTCTGGCCATAGCAATTAAACTGTATTGTGCACTTTTCTGTTAATTCAATTTGGTTTGCAAATTTTTCAAAGCAATTTTTAGGCTTAGTGTTTGATTGAAGGATCGTTTTTGTTTTTTATTATTAGTGGAAATATCACATAATAACTTAACGAACCATTGGCCAAAACTATAATTTAAATAGGCACAATATCTGAAGCTTAGATCTACCTGCTATAAACTTAAATCGCTTGACAAATGGCCAAATAGTCAAGAAACACTTGGAAGTTGGCAAACAATTAAACAAACCGAGAAACAAACGGACAGGCAAAACACACAACAAGGACATAACAATAAATGCATTTTGTGTTGCATTTTCTGGCCAACGAGAATGTCTCCAGGGTCAATTTCAAATGCATTTACACAGCCACAAAACACAGACATACACACACAACAATTGCACTCACACAGCGACACTCGAAATATAGATTAGTGTAATTACTATACCATGGAAAATGACGTCGACATGAACATGGCAAACGGCTCAAGGGCATTTCCACTCCATTGGGGATGAAAACGATGGGGGTTGCATGTGTGGCATGTGTGGGTGGGGTTTGTGGCATCAGTCATTGGGAAGGGTGGTGTGGTGCATGGATCGGGAATTCTGCTTTTGATTTCATTTCATTACGCATTTGCAATTTCAACTATGAATAATTGAAAATGTGCATTGCATACTTTAAGGCCCAATTTGGCATTACAATCGGGGGAGAGTTGTCCTGCTGCTGCAGCAACGATTGATGTTTTCGGCTAATTCAGCCGAAATATGCTTATTACGCATTAAAACTAATTAAGCATGAACTCTATTTGACAAATACCTAACCCCTGCTCCATGTACGAATCCGGCTTGTTTATGCTCAAAATCTGATTGATGGCAGCAAATGTTGCCGTAACTTTCCTGGCATTCAACTTTGATTTATAGGAATTAGGCAGCTTAATTGGACCTCAATTTCAGATATGATAATGTAGCTGGGAGAGCCAGGAGCCTTGCTTACCTTAATGGCTCTTAATTGCCATTCCGTTCATCCTGCAGGACTCTTCAAATTACCAGGTCATTAGGTGCAAGTGTCAAGTGGAATGATAGAAGAAAAAAACAATGTGAGAATCGGTAAATTCGACTGGGAATTACTTATTCTATATATAAACACTTTATCTTATTTTGCAGAAAATGTAATACACCTTTGTTCTTATTCAGTAATGGGTATAGGGAAATGTAAGGAAATAGGGAACCCCGGGCGAAAAACAAAAGTCAGTAGCTCACTTAGAGAGCGTCCAAGCAAACACTTTGCCAGCACTCGGCATAAATTAATTATAATTCCCCTTGTAAGTGCTCCGTGTAATTGTAATTGTTGTTATGGCTGGCTTATAATTGTCGGTCTTGTTGATGCTGTTTTAGTGGCTGTTTTTGGTGTTACTGTTGCTGTTATTATTGTCGTCGTCGTCGTTGTCCTTGTCGTGCTAAACAATTAAGTGTAAATTGTAAAACATGCAGAGCTGCGGTCTGCGGTCTTGTCTCGAGTTGTTCGAGTGTGTGTGTGTGTGAGTAAATCCGAAAACGGAAGTTGAAACTGAAACGGAAACAACAAAACTAGTTTTAAGCGAGCTTTTCCGTCTGGAAAAGCGGTAAACATGAGTTTAAATTAAGAAAAATAACACAGGAACATGGAAGTTAATATAATGAAACTATTGATTATATATGTATATATTATACCACCTAATTTATCATAGATAAAAACTTCTCGAAGAGTTAAAAATATACTGATTGTAGAATTTATTGATACTAATCTAAAGTTTAAAAACTGATGGCTTCACGACGAGATAGCTGACTTTTCCTATCACAGACCCTATCACATGATATTTGTATCAAATTGTAAAAGAGGGGTATCTTCTCTATAAGTAATATCTCCTCAGAAATAACCAGTATTATTTTCTCCATATCTACTAACGAGGAAATCGTAAATAGCTTCATAGGAAACTATTTGGATAGCTCCGCCTGGAATGGCACGCAATAGCAGCGGTGACAGGCCCTTGTACAATGCCCGGAGACCTTCTTCATAGTAAATTATCCTCAGTGTTTGAATTGTCCCACCGTACTTGATCTCACCCCTCACTGGCTGCGGCGCCTGGATGCGGCACTTGGCCATATCGAAGGGACAACTTAGTGATAAGCCCACGGCGCCTGAAAAGCTTGCTATCACGAACTTACGGAAGAGTTCGGCGCTCTGGCGCTGTTTGGCGGGAAGCCGATTCCTAATGTTTGTGTACATGCCGAAATAGGTGAATTGGAAAATGACATTGCGTGTCATGAGAGCCGTAATGCCCCGATAAAGACCTTTCAACCCGTAGCCGTTACGCCCAATGATGTGCCGTGCCATCGCCAAGGCATTGAGACGCTTCTGCTCATGTACTTGTTGCGTTATTTTTACCACCTCGAAGGGATTCACAGCGATAGCCTCGATTATTCCGGAAATTGCGCCGGTCATGGCATAAGTCAATGAAGTTGGCTGAGAACCCGCCTGCACGATGGGCCTTAATTGGGAAATCATGAAGTACTTCATACCCCTTCTTGGCGGATTCACTAACAACGGTGGCACCATGCCTCTCCAGAAGGTGGTCAGTCCCTCGTTTTGATATATCTTTGCGAAGGCATCCCGAACGCCACAATAGGTTTCCCTGGTTGTTATCCTATGAATATTCTGCACCTGCAATCGGGACTTGACCAAGTCCAGCGGACTCAAGAATAACACCTCCAGAATGCCTACCGCCATGCCAGACATAAATAGAAAGTCCGCTCGTCGGCGTGGCGGCACATCCGTTTGGGCAGTAGGCATGCCGGCTTCGGGATCGAATTTTTAATTTTGTCTGGATACATTTTAACTGAATTAATCATAACACCCCCACACAGCTGATGTAAAACTCAACTACCAGTTGGATTTTGAATAAGTCTATTAGTTTTCAGTTGTTTTTGTGCTAAGAAGAATGTCTTTTCTATATTTGTAAAGGATTTATACTCTTTACATATTCCCCTTAAACTTGAACAACATTCATTACATATTCCTGCTAAACTTGACACAGTCTATACTCAACGAAGGTCCTTTCTTGTTATTTTTCGCTTCGGTTAACATCACTTGCCGCTGCCTCTCTCAGAGTGCCATGTTAATGAATGTCAAGTGCACTGCGTGTGGCACCCCAAAACCCAAACCCAAACCAGAACCCTGCCTCTTTCCATCAAAAGGGTACTGATGCTGGCGACTCCTGGGCGATCTCATAACAACAATTATGCTAATGTGGCCCAATCCGGGACGTCAATCCAACATAATTGCTAACAAATTAGTCATGGTGCACAGGCCAATTGCAGCCCAGTCCCAGTCCCCGACTGCTCATCTTCATCCACAACCACATCACATGCCCTGCTCTTTTGGCCCAGTTACAAATGTGTGGTGGTGGGTGTCCATTCAGGCAAGTTTAACACGCGAGAAGGGGAGTCACATTGTCTGTGGCCAGGTGTGTGTCCTGGCAATTGCCTGTCACGCTGTACAAAGGCAGAGCGGGTCCTGGCCACAACCAACTGTGGAGTGCTCCATTCTCCTCCATCTGATGAGGTAAATGAGCCTCGCCTCGCCTCGCTCGCCTCGGTGGCATGTCCTTCAGCTCCTGCTCCTGCTCCTTGACTGCCAGCCTTGTTGGCTCAAGTACCTTTTGGCGTCAGGTTTCCCTGGCTCTTGCTCATAAGTCAGCTCATTGCCGACGGCTGTTCCGGCTCCTGAAGCCAAGGGCCAAGGTGCCCTGGCCTCCTGATGGAGAGCGTTAAATTTATATTAGAATATTAGGGCAACGAGTAAGGGGGCCTCTTAAGTCAGTTGAAGTGGCGTCAATTTGTGGCTCAAGCTGGCCGCATCTGGAAATGGTCGAGTGACTGATGATGGGGCTATTAAGAAGAGCTGCTCACGAGTTTGGCTTTGCAATTACAGTGATCGACAGTGGTTCAATGGGTAACAAGAGGTTGGAAATAAAACAGAACCGAAATAATATGTTAAGATAATTGCTAAAGTACCATAAATTAGTAAGGTCAACTAAAGGGAGATTACAACGATACTAAAGCAATGTAGAAAATATATAATTCAAGGTGATTTAGTTTTGAAATTTTGAGATATTTCTCACATCTTCTTATGAAGTTATAAAGAATAATCTCTAGCTTAATTATGAAAGGATTTTCATTTATTTCCCACATACTTCTTTTCACATACTTCTTTTCATTAGCAGAATCCTTTCCAATTCCCTTTTTTTTTTGGAGTCTTACTGCTCTTTCACATCAACACTTTTACTCATTCGCTGGACACATTTTGTCACCAGCAAAACATACAAAAAATAAGTATATGAAGAACCCTCAACGAACTTTCATTCAGCTCTCGGTACGTTCTTCGTCCTGTGACAGCATTCCTAAAGAGAATAGAATAGAAAATGGGATGGATTTTTCCCACCCTCAGCTGTCAGCAGCGCATCCAGACATCTCCTTGTCATTTTAAAGCCATTTGATGTATGACAAATCAAATTTGACAAACTGCCAACAGTTGTTTTGCATCTTTGCAACATTTTTCACAGCAGCCAGCACCCCCAGAGTGTCCTGACGACGGAGCAGTAGGAGACACATGTGAAATCAACTCCGTACTTAATACAGTATAATGGCGTGGGGAAAGCCCGTAAGGAAGGAGGAGCAAAAAATTTACATACTCATGTTTCGCAATACGCCGTGTGACATGCAAAAATGCCACTCCCGAGTCCGGGGGACCCAAAGTGAAAACGGTTCGAATGGCGGAACCGGATCCGGATGCCAGGCAATGGGCTGGGTTGGGTTTAGGATATATATTCATACATTTCCACCACGCATGCACATTTTAATGCCCTTTGATTAAAGACAATGATGCCAAAGTTCTGTAAACTCATTTGGGGGCTTTAGGAATTCCGGGTCTCACGTCCGACCAAAAACCAAGCGAAAATTGCGGCAAACTTCAGTTCTTCGCACTCGGGGGAAATAGAAAGAGAGTTTCCCTCGCCGGGCTTAATTTCAGGGCTTATTCGAGTATACACTCCATTTCATATATTTTAAATAAAAAGTCAGGGCCAAGGAGTGTGCATCCCGTCTGACAGTCAAACCGAAGACATATCCGGCGCAGGAGTCCGGGGGAAACTACGGAGAACACGGAGAGCCCGGAGAAACGTGAGCTCAATCAAGCGCCGCTGAGTGAAGCGGAGAGTCCGACTGGGGAAATTTACAAGTCACACACGAGCGTTCGAAATATGGCGCATAAAAAATGGCAAAGGAAAAGCCAAGCCAAGGCAAGTCAGGCATGTGGTTGCGTTTTCCCCTCCCATCATCTTTCTTCGGCCAACGGGGACTGAACAATTTTCGGCGAATCGCAATGGCGGCAAGATGGAAATGGCGATGGAAAGCGAGGCAAGTCGCAGCCGTGTCTCAACTGCATTTCGCATAAAAAATTAAAAGTCGCCAGCGTAAAGAAATAAGAAATATGCAATTTGCTCGATTTGTGCATGATTTCTCATTGTTTGCATAGTCAAGTGCAGTGAGAGAAATTTGTAAGGTTTAATAAGTATTTGGGAAAGGTTTAACCATTGAATGGAAGGTTTTTAAGTACTAAGAAGGAAGGTAAATATTATGTTAATTGTATATAGTTTATAAAACAAAAGCTTGGAAGGTTTTTTAATTGAGATTATATTTCGAAAAAAAGGGAACTTCCCAGTTTAAACATTGATATTTAAACCAAAAATGCATTAGTTTTAGTTCTGAAAGCAGTTCTGTGGTAGTTCATATTGGGTTAATAATCTGCGTTTAAAAAAAATTCAAATTTTCTACCAATTTTTCGAATTTTGAAAAAATTTCAACAAATTATTTTTTCACTAATATGACAGATCGATTCGGCTGTAATGCTGATTATGAATATATTTTTGTATGGGTCGGAAATGACTCCTTCACAGCCTTACGAGCTTTTGGTTAATATTATTATATCCTGCAAGGGAATAAATAGATTTTCGAAAGTGTTTTAGTATGACATTTTCCAAAAACCTGTTGTTAAACTTAAAAATTTTAACGGAAATATAAAATAATGCTAGGTTATTCTAATTAAACCTAAAATATTTTAAATAAATAGATTTGAGCATTAATTTTTATCCTAGTAATCTTATTAATAGTCCATGAGGTTAGCATCATATTATCCTTTGTGGGGTACCTTGGAAAGTATTTTTTTTTGGCAATGTAATCCCTAGACCTTCTCCAACATATGATGAACACAACCCACTTCCTGCTGCCAGGAAGCAGACAAACCGTTATCGATACAACGCGCTCAGTCTTCCCGAAAAAAGTAGACCCCAAGGACATGGTGTCAGTTTGGCAAGTTATTGCGCTGCACATGGCCCACTCTTGCTCCCATTCCTATTGCGTTTCCCACTCTTGCTCCCATTACTTTCGGTCCTCTATTCCCAACTCATTTCCATGCCCATTTCCATTCAGGCATCCCCCATTCCCAGTGCCACCACCTTTTTTTTCGGTAGTTCCAGTTGCCCTGCAGCGTCTTTGACTTCTGAAGCGCTTTTTTGATTGTTGTGCTGCGATGTTCGGCTGCCGTTTGACTCTTCGCATGAATGACTTTGAGTGGAACTTGGACTGCCTGCCACATGGCTGGAAGGGATTGGCGGGAACGGTGTCCTGGAGCGGGTCCTGGTTGGGAAAGGAAACTGCAAACCTACTACCTGAGCTTTGTACATTTTATATGACGACAAAGTTGTCCAGCGACAGGATTCCAGACGCATGTTGCAACTTTGGTCGTTGTCGTCGTCATGTTAATGCCAAGTTTTGGCTACCTAAAATCGAGTTATCTACAACCCTCTCTTCTGCTGCGTGTGCATCTGGTCTGTGCATCTGACGTGCCACAGTGGAGCTCACCTAAGTCAGAACTCTAGAGATTAATTTTCAATCAACTTGTAAATATTTGTTCCCTGCAAAGTCCTTCAAACGCAATGAAGTTAAGCCTAAATCTCCATGTTGCTGGAAATTGCCTAATCTAAGAAGTTTTGAGCAGCAGAAATTGCACTGTAAAGTTCTGTGTGGGAGATGTGCTTTGCGACAAGTAAATTAGTAATCAATATGAGGAGATTGCAGGAGTTGCTGCAGGGTCCTTCGAGAAAGTCGCCTCTCTCAGGATGCAGCGCTAATCCCATTAGCCGTCGGCTGCACATGCTCTCCCAGCACTTTGCTACCGACACGCACTTCACGTGGCTTTAATAAGCCAGGAACCCGAAAAGAAACCAACCCACTGGCTGCTGAGGCACTGGGTTTAATCAAAAAACTTGCCAGAGTCTGCTGATGGAATGCTGCTACAGGAGCGGGCCGCATCTAAGAGCCATCTTTCAGCATCTTGTGGCACACATAAAGCACTTTGTATGCATGCCGGGCATGAAGGGCCTCCTTCCTTCGGCCGGCTTCCTGCTCGCCCTGTGTGTTATGAATATAAATTTATTTCCCACGTCACAACACAAACATACACAGACACTGGCACTGGCACCGGAATCAAGTGGGCGGGAAGACGCCGGACTCAGACATTTCACACATCGCGCATAATAATAATAATAAACGATAACGAAATTTACTTCTAGGAAACCGCGAGCACACAGTCCCACTCCATGGATAAGGATGGGGACGCTTGTCGCACGGATGTGGGTGCCACAAAGCGCATCCTTCCCATTTCCTCGGCACGGGTCCTTCTTATGAAATTTTATGCCACGCAGGCAGGAGGAATAGGATAAATAGGGAAGCGCATGAATTGTGCACTCCACGCTCATGGGTTTTAATTTCGCTAATGCAAAGAAACTCCACCTTATTCAAAACAC